TAACAAAAAGCATATTTTACATTTTTTGACATTTTTTTATATAATAATTGCCAAACATGTGACTATTACGTAACTCTTTCTGGTAGTAATTTCGGAAAAATCATCAAGGATACTAAATGCGTTAACAGGTTGAAAGTTTGTGTATGTGTTTGTATGTTTGTGATAGAGAATAATGAAACAAATTAGAGGTGGTGATTAGGTGTGCATATTTATATGTGACAATGTATATTTGCATGTGTGTGTGTGTATAGGTGTGGACAAAAAGAGAACTAATGTGTATTGTGTGCAAGAGCATGTATCATAATGTACTATATATGTAAGAGCCATAGTTATATGAAAAATTTTCGCTTAATAGTTTATACACAAATTAAGTAGTGATTAATATATCACGTAGTAATACGTTCCTATTATCAAACATTCTGACAAGGTTTTTCTTTCGTACCAAATTTTAAAAACCTAATTCTCTATTTTTTTTACAATTACACAGATCATTTATTGAGTATATGAGATATTATGTGTCGATCCCATAAAGAAAATTGTCAATTATTAGTGAATTTTTAATTTCTTCATTATTTAGACAACCACAAGCTAAAGCAAGTGTATCTAAACTGCAAACATGAAATAAGATGAAGGAAAAATGACAATAAAAAGGTCTTATGATTATGAAATTCCTAACTACTCTTACAAGTAAAATTATGAATTAATTGAATATTATTATCTTAGTTAATTTATGACGTAATTTTCTAATATATCTAATACCCGTTCTCGCCATTGTACCAACCATACCACCATGCCTATATCTAGTCCATATCTACTCTCGTGATTATAAAATTAACTATAAGTTTATTAAATTCTATAAAATTATATGCAACAAGCTACCAAAGCCACATATGTGCATATTTACTCTCTGAGTGTATTCTCTAGATTTAGTACTTCTTTAAACAAATGTTAAATTTTAATTTTCATTGCAAATTTAACACTTTGAGATTATTATAATTAATGATCAGTTAATCATAATTATAAAAGCAAAACTGCTAGATATATTGCTTAAAATAATAATATCAAATAATAGAGTAAACATCACAAATAAAATATAAAAAGTTCATTCATAATTCTGCGCATAAAACTTTAGAAACACATAATGAACATAAAATTCTCTAAATATGAAATCCAATACAAGAAAGAAAGTGGTAGTAGCAATATCACCATTGTTACATTAGTTCAAAATCTTCCTCTTTGCTCCTCAATTTTCATCTAAGTTTAGCTATAAATAAGAGACGATGAATCTAACTAATTTAAACTGTTCTACACTAACCTAAATTAAAGAACTAGGAAGCTGGTTTGGTTCTATATTTTTAGTGGTGCTTCTTCCCCTATTCTCTTCTCTCTTTGATTCTTCCCATCTCCTCTTCTCTCTTTGATTCTTAAAGCAAATTGTATTTATATAGAGAGAAAATGATCCAAAAGAGAATTATAGAGTTTCCAATCTTCAGCCATAAGTTCTACAACTCGTCCCTCAAAAGAAGTAAAATAATTGAGCAAATTACACAAGTTGAGCCGTACTTTTTGATTGCAATCCGGCGCATAATGCAACCTTGGATTGGTTACTTGCAAGCCGTACTTTGAAAGATGTTTGAATCAGCTTTTTGTGCAAAACATGATAACTAGTCAAGTGCAAAATTATGGTTAAAATACTGATAACTGGTCAAAAGATCATTGCAGTAGAAAAACGTTTCAATAATTTAGATATTTTGCTATGAAAATGTGAGAATTAGACTTTAATGCCTCTATTAGCTTTGAAACTGTTCAAGAATCATTTCAATCCAAACTGTGTAACTCAAGTTATAGCCAAAAATTCGAAATGTGTCATTGCTACCAATACTTTTCTGCCTTGTTTCTTGATTGCATTTTATTCTTTGATCCTTTCATGTCACATGAAATCCACTTGAAATCATCAACAATCATGCAAGTACCTTCGCACTTCACTTTAATTGATGATTAAATTATTAAAACCGATAAAAATATGAAGTTTCTACACTTTAGTCCATTGAAAAGCAACATTCCATACTTAACCATAAAAATGCAAAATTCAACTTGAAACCTAGTTATTTAGTTCCTATAATGACTAAAACACACTAAAAACTAAATAATAAAACACATTAAAAAGATGTAAAATAAACACTTATCACATGTTGAATTCATAAAGTTGTAAATGAATTAGTTTTCAGCATTAAGTACAGTTATCAAACAAGCCCCAACCTTAGTAGATAAATAAGGTCAGATATATGAATTAATCTTGTATACTAATAATATATACACTATCACGATTAGATATATAACATATTTGTAAAATTTGAATTTCAAGTTCAAATTCAAATTAGGTATTATGCAATTAATGGTGATAGTGTATAAACTGTTAGTGTATATAAGTTTAATTTTAAAGATACTAGCATTCCTTAAAAAAATTTTTGAGACACTCTCTAATAAGGCCTTATTTAGATTGTTTCTTCTACACATCTTCTAATTACATTTTTATCTCACATACGTGACATCCTACAAAAAGTGACAAAGCCTATTCATAGTGATTAAGAATGTAACCCATTCCTTAGTTAGACTCATACCTTTTTACCAAATGGCCTCATAAATTGTCACATTTATTCTCTCCAACCAGTTTCATAGAGAAGGGTGAGAGAAAAAAGAAATTTGTCACATACTTCATTGGAACAAAACCCCTATTTTTTAGTCTTTCCACTTTCATGCCCTCCATTCTTCCCTCATTACCTTTATTCAGTACAAGGTTAGGGTTGCAAAATTTACCAGACAAGTCGATACGCTTTTCCCCTTAAAATCTAACTAGCTGTCTAAAATTGTCCTTGAGTTACTAATTGTGATTATTGGTCTGTTTGCAAATGGTTGTTCTGCCAAATTTTTCTTTTCTAAGTTTTTTAACAACTTTAATTATACTAGCTTCAAAAGTTCTCAAAATATTTAAAATATACACTTCCAAATACTAAAAAACATACAAAAAATTTTCTGTTCTTTCTTTTCTTCTTCTTCCTCTCTCTATCTCTACCCACTACCACTGACCATCACTGGTTAGTACCTTTATCGGTGCCAATGCCAGCCTCCTTTTTTTTCCTTTCATTATTTATTGTCTCTCTATCTCCTCTTCCCCTCTTCTCTCTCATTCTCCTCTTCTTGCTCTTACCATCTCTACAACCAAATCACACATGGGGAAGAAGTGAAAGAAAGAGGTAGCAAGAGAGAGGGTAAGGGAAAGAGAGAAAGGAAGGAGAAGAGGACATGGGAAAGATAGAGAAAAAAAGGAAAAAACGAGTATTATCAAAAATGGTCGTCGATGGAGGTGCCGAGACCAGCAGCCAGTAGTAGGAAGGGAGCGATGATGAAAATAAGTAGTTGAGTGGAAGAAAATAAGAGAACAAAAAAGAAAAGGAAAAAGAAAAAGAAAAAGAAATAAATAAAAAGAAAAAGTTTAACCCATCCTAAAAAGTTGAGCAAATTGTGCGAAATATCATTAAACTATTGCGAGATACCGATTTTGATCACTAAACTTTTTATTAGCAAAAAATGTCACTGAACTAGTAAATCTATACCGTTTTGGTCACTCCGTGATCTTATTCCATTAGGAGAGGCGGAAAATAACTTTTTGAAAGGCAATTTCGTCTAACAACTTTTGTGTGAAAAATTTTGTCTGGTAAATGAAGGGAAAGTTCACCTTATCCCAAGGTACTTGAGTGATAATAGTACCAAATTCATCATCTGCAAGCCCCTGATTATACTCTCTTTGAGAACTAGCATTTGCTAGGGTTTGACAAGCAACTTGAAGGATCATCCTTCGGCTGACTAAAGCATCTTGGCTATAGCCATAATGGGGCGGTCTGGAAACCTTAGCTTCGTAAGCTCTTCTGATTCCATCGCCGAGGAAATGAGCCTCAATGCCGAGAATCCTGTAAAAATCAATGGGCATTTTTACGGAGCGCTCGGTCGGGGCCAATGTAGGAATAGTAAATGGAGGAGTGAGAGTGGCGGTGGCAGAATTGTCGTCGGAATGGTCGGCAGTGACGATGGTGGAAAGGAGAAATTGGAAGTCGGCGAAAAGTCGTTCGGCCCATTTATTGGTGGCGGAGGAGAAGCTATTTGGGATACTGCTGGTGTTGGTGCTACCGCTGATAGCATTGAGTTTTGGGAGCTTTCTGGTGATCAGTAGCGGCAACAGTGACGGTGATAATAGCGACGGAATACAGATGCCCATGTTGCGGTGTCTCAAAACTTCCATTTGTTTTGGAGGTTTTAGAGAATTTACAAAATATCTTCGAAATTGAGTCGAAGCTGGACGTTGCCTGATCTAATTCAGAAGAAGAGTAAAGTCTCCCCTATTTCATGAACAAAATATACAATTCTTTTAAAGGAATTCTCCAATTTCCTTGTAGTCAGAAAAAATTTTCTCACTACTTCTAATTCTCCCTTCAACTTGTCGAAATGATCCTCCTAAACGAAGAAAACACCCTCAAAAGTTGCAATATTGTCCCTTCATTTACCAGACGAAATTTTTTCCACAAAAGCTGTGCAGATGAAATTGTCCCTCAAAAAGTTGTTTTTCGTCTCTCCTAACGACACAAAATCACGGAGTAACCAAAACGGTACATATTTACTAGTTTAGTGATATTTTTGACTAATAAAAAGATTTAGTGATCAAAACCGGCACCTCGCAATAGTTGAATGACATTTCGCGCAATTTGCTCTCCTAAAAAGTTTTATTACAAATTCTGACACTAAGTAAAATTGAAAATACTAAACAAACACCGGTTCCGTTTGAATTAGCTGTTTTAAAAATATTTTACTGTAATAATATATATAAAAAACTTTTATTGTATATATTTTTGATGATATTTTAAAAATATATTTTAGTGTATTTTTAAAATTTTTAATATATTTTTTAAAAATTCACACACTATCACCCACCGACACCCGCCACCGTCGCCGCCCAGAAAACGGGGAATTCAAACAGAGCCACCATTTCTCTTAACACAGCGGGTACATATTTTGCTTGTCATCTGGGAAGTGATACTCTGCTCTCTGGGGAACATTCCCGCCCAAAAATTTCGCCGTCTTCAACCCAGACTCAAATAAGAGCCCCAAAATAGTCTCTAAGCTACTCATCATCAAGAGGAGAGGATCATTCGTTTATTTACTTCGGAGCTGTGGAGATAGGGTGGCGTACCTCCAGTGTCTTCTGCTTTAGAGATGACGACGGAGAAGAATTCGGAAGGTCCGGGAAAGCCAGCTATTCAGTTGGACCAAGTAATCGAAGGAGACACTATTGGCTCCAGAAACTACCGCTTCGTGAAAGTTGGAGAATCTGTGCCGATTAAACCTCCTGGAAAAGATGATTCCCTGTACGATTCCCATAATCCTCCGTCGAAGCCTTTGGCTGTCTCGGAACGATTTCGCCTACTCTTCATCGCGCACTCTAATGGTCTATTTTTTTTTAATTTTCTTTTATTTTTCAATTGCTCTTTCACTAGTATTATTTTTTGGTCGACCAGTACTCGTATTGGCAATTACTTATTTAATTTTTGGTGCATGTTTACTCATCACGATTCTCTCTCTCTCTCTCTCTCATATGGGTGGTCGGTTAGGTTTTTATGTAGCAAGGACAAAGGAAGTCATGGGTTTGGCAGAGGAAATCAAAGACAACGGGAGTAGCCAATCGATTGACGAGTTGAGCATCCTGAACCTATCTATTGGAAGAGTTTCCATATTGGCACTGTCTTCGGGTGATTCCTTGCTCGCTGCTTCTGTAGCAAACCAACTCCATTTCTTTTCCATTAGCGCTCTACTTCATAAGGTAAAAGCTGTAGCATTCATTCTGTATAGTCATTATGGCATTGTTCTTATTTCGGTCTTAATGCTTTTGATGTAGCATACTACCACATTGCACACTTCGTGCGTGATATTATATATGAAAAATATATTTATTTGTTACTTGTGAACCGTGTGTGGCTCTTATCATGTACCTAAGCACAGTCTTAGACCTCCGTCATGATTTTTCACATGAAGATGAACTTTAAAGTTTTTGCTTCTAATAGAATTCTTACCAAGGGGAACTTGATGGAAGATGGAAATTGGGGTAATTCCAATGGTGTAGGGGTAATGGGAGCTTTGTTTATGAGGGCAATAAGTGAAGTAGGTAAAATTGTAGAACCTTATTCCTAGCGGGCTCACAATTCTCGTTTAAGTGGAATTTAGGTTTGCTGAGAATTTAGGCTCACTTTCAGCAGAATTCATTTTACCAAGTGACGTCACTTTAAGAGTGAATTGCTTTTGAAACATGGCAAAAGGGGTTGTCACAATCCCCGTTTTTCCTTTTCCAAACTAAAATATCTTTTGAATTTTTTTATAATAGATTTTTAAGGACCTTTTGCCATGGTGTGACCCAGCTTGCTCATATTCCACACATTTCCACTTCTACCTTTGTTGCTTCGTCTCTTTATTCCTTATGTCATATAGTTGCACGGAACAAGCTTAAATTAACTGAGTACCTGCCATAGCTAAAATTTCGGGAAGCTTAATACCTCTGCTCGAGTTCCTGCTTCTTTTACTATTTGTCGGCTGCATCATATGGTCTGTGAGTTCTTTAAGCTGTTAAATCACTTGCAGTTTTACCATATGAAACTTCATTTTTTTCCCCTCTGATTAACAGCATGAGTTTTGAGGTGTTTCAACTCTCCCTCACTCTATCACACATGCACTTTAACAGGAACAAAAACCAGCTTTTTCAGTTTGCCTCGATGACTTCAGTTGCATCAAGGACATGAAATGGGCTAGAAAAGCGGAAAAGAATTATGTTGTTCTATCAAGTGATGGAAAGTTACACCAGGGAATTGGTCAAGGTTCTCCTATGAATGTGATGGACAATGTTGATGCTGGTATGATTCTGTTCTTCAGAGTATCCTTTCATCTTCTATTCCACTTATAATTGCTTGATCTCACAAAGATTCAGTATGTCTGCTAATTTGCAGAAGAAACTATGCTGTTTTCTTGGTCCTTGGCATCTTTTTTATTCCTATGAATAGATTGAATATTATGTTGTCTGCTAAACCTATCTTAATTCTGGAGTTGGAGTAGTCCCTCCATTTATTGCTTTTACAATCTATATAAAGACTTTGTTTTCTGACATAGTGGAATGGAGCCCGGACGGTGCTTTTGTGGCTGTGGCAAGAAAGAATGTTCTGGGTATCATGTCATCCCAGTTCACTGAAAAGCTCAGCTTTTCACTATCTTCCACATCGATTATAGGTACTTTGTATAACTTTATTCTGTCTTAACTGACTTGATTAATGTAGAAGATATACTAGACAATCAGCAAGGCTAAGCAGATCTATACTTTGGAGTCTTATTCATTGTCAGTTCAATATTTTTGAGTCATTGACCTTTTCAATACTAAGGTTTGGCTTTTAATATCGATGAACTAATAGTTTGTGTTTCATTGGGTGATTGTTCTTGAATGTGCTTTTTTAACTATTCATTAGTTAAGATCTTCGGTTTGTATTATCATGACATTACTTGATCTGGCATGAAAAACATTTTAACAAATTTAGTCAGTTACTGCAGTTAGTGGCGTCTTACATGTTTATGTTTATGTGCAATAGTAGGAGATAAATTTGCTGATTTAGGGTTGGAAGAATGCAAAACTAATCTATATCTCTATTATCTCCTTTTGCTGGATATTTTCCTATCAGTGGATTCTATCAGATGGCTTCGTACAGATAGTATCGTTTTAGGATGCTTGGAAGGAGGTGATGAGTCTGAGCAGGGAAGTTACTTTATTCAAGTCATCGCGACCCAGAGCTTGGAAATTACAGATGTCAGTAAACAATTTCCATACAGTTGACTTGAACTTTTCTTATGCTCTTATTTTGTGGATATTTTCTTGTTGATGCACATTTTAGTACAAATTGTTGCTTGGGTTGTGAGCTGTGCCTTTTTTACTCTTTCTCATTTTTACTAACTTGTGGTCCCAAACTTTATATTTGTCATAACTGGTTTCTATCATTTTGGTAAAATAAAATGGATTCAAAGTGCCATACTCGACATATGGAAGATACTTTTACCTTGTTAACATTGTTAGGTGCTGTTGTTAATTAGCTGCTTTATCATTCAGAGGGACTACAAGAAGTAAATTTTCTTCTCTTCATACCCAAAGGTGCATATAATCCCTAAAAGCTTGTAAGATCTTGTATCCTATTAGAGTCAGGATCTACCATCAAATCTTCCCTAGGTCACTGGGTCCTGAGATATTAATTTCTATTGTCAAACTTGCCTTCGTCTTTAATGTCTTGCTAACAGCAGTCTTGTTTCATCTACCTTAAGCCCAATATCTATTATTAGAGTTCCTTTGATGCCAAGTGTATGTGCATGGTATTTTGGTTACATTGGCTGTTCCCTGACAACACAGAGTGTAGGTTCAACTTTGGGTGGTTAGTTGTTCTTCATTTATTCTGTAATGGTGCTTTGTGTTGTACCATTGGAGTGTCTCGTCTTGAGCCATTGATTTATTAATTTGGGGAGTAATTCTTTTAACTTTTTGAGACGTGGATTGCCATCACCTATAATTTTTTCCAAAGCCTTGTGCTTTGTTTTTAAGAGGCCATTAATCTGATGGAGGATAGTTATTTTGAAAACGTGGTGAATATATTTTAATGCAGAAACTGAACCATGATTATGAAATTCTCCTCAAGTTTATGAAGTATGGTTCATAAGTAGCGGAGGACGATTTATCTTTCTGAGACTGAAAAGAAGATATGTCTGATGAGTTATTCAAGATACATCACACACTTTTGGGAGGTCATTCGTATGACTGATTATTTCAAGCATATGGTGAGAGATCATCTCATGTCATCGGTTTGGCATTATTTTGAAAGCATAACATTTATAATCACTATGAGTAAGCTGGGAAAAGAAAATGCAAATAAGTACAACAATGATAGTTTGTTACAGGTGTGTCCATATTTCATGAACTTGGATGAGTATCATGCGACACCAGAATGTCTATTTCCTCTTTTCTATGAAGTAATTTGTTTTGACTTTTCATTTACTCATCTAGCCTTTTCATTGTCTTCAAAGGATGATTAGGTTAGTATGTTTCGTTTCAGTTCTATTTAAATTTGAATCAAGATATCTTATAGTCTTCCATTCTTGAATCTTGAAAAAAAGCCATAATAAATAAAAAGAGGAGGTATGAAGAATCTGGTAATTAAAGATGGTGAAAATGAAAAGCGGGAGGGGGGACAATCAATATTTATGCAACTATTGCAAGAATTTCATTTGGAGTTACATTTGGGTGAGTAGATTTACATGTGATGGGGTTGCTTTTGTTTCTGTAACATGTGAGCACAAACAATTAGACTGGGAATCATGCCATGTCCCAATTCTAAGAAGAAGTTTCTCTCTACTTGAGGCTTCGTACAATATAGTATGAGGCTGAATCTCCTCATGTCAAAGACCAGTGAGCAGTTTAATCTGCATATTCACTTCCTCCCCACTCTGCAAGTTTGTGATATCACCTTAATACATACTCCTTTTTATGCAGCATGGCTCCTAAATGGTCTTACCAAGTTGGTCATTGATTTGATAGTCAGTCTTTGAGTTGTGGCTGTGTCTGTTACATTGATGTTGAGATTTGTGCAAACATCTTGAGGTCTACTTCTTCTTTCATCTGACGATTAAGTGAAAGGGGTTCATGTGGGGAAATGGAAAATATCTAGGGTGCTCTGTCTCTTTACTGTTTCAAAACCACCCTTGATGGCTATCTGATGCTTGCCAATATTTTGCTCAAGTATCTTGTTTAAGTTCCATAGTGATTGAGGTTAATATTTCTAGTTTGACTAGTTGATCAAGTTAGTGCTTGATTTATTTTTCTTGTGATAAGTGAAAAAAAGGTGTTCATCTCATTATGCATTGGATTCTGTGTTGGCATACGCACTGAACTTAATTCAGATCTGAGAGTGATTGGAGGAAGCTTGATGGAAAATTCTCAAATTTCTAACAGCTTGTGCCTTTTATCCCTGTATTGGGAGTTTAGAAAAGTAACAAGTTTTATCTTCATTAGGTTGAAATATGACTTTGTAGATAAAGGTTTTACAAGCATTTTAACTTTCTTGTAGATGTTCTCCAATTATCACGTGGTTTGGCGTTTCCATGATTTTGAATTCTAGTGATATAAAATCTATAGAAGTCATTGAATTGTAATATTGTATTTTAATTGTTTCTAGTGTCATCGACTGATCTTGAATGCTGTTATCTCCTTTTATGTCGCTTAGGCCTGTTCAAAGCCAGTTGTGCTGTCATTCAGTGATGCATTTCTAGATTACCAGGACAACGTTGTGCCCGGTGCGACTGGACCAAATCTGTTCGTGAGTTATCTAGATCATCAGTATGTGCCTTTAACTGCATTACAAGTGGTTCCGCCCTTATTGATCAGTTTGGTTTGATGTACATGCTATGGCTGTTTGTGTTTTTGTCCTGGTTACCTTTACAAACTCCAAACTGAGAATAAGTGCTTTGCAGTATTGTGTAACCCATGGATTTGAAATTTATCGCTCCGTGAAATGTTTTGCCAGTTGGGAATGTGAATTGAAATGGTTTGTGATTTCTTCAGCCTTCTCTTAAGCAGTGTGATTGACATTAACTTTTATCTTTTATTTAAAAAATCCCAGCTTGCCACATTTGTTATCAAGGGAAGTCCATTTGAAGCAGGATTGAAGGTGTTATATAGTATTTTCATAGAGTTATTGCCAGTTGTAGCTCTCTGCTTACTTAACTCTTTATCATTCTTCTTTCTGTCAGATACTAGATTATTGCGGGCTCACTATTTGCAATTACTCCAGAATATCATTTGATTCTTGCATTTCCGTAATCATAAAGTCCCAGAAGTAATTATATTTAATAGGAAATGTTGCATTATGTATCCCACCGAAGAGATTTTGCAAATCAAAACTCGTTTTTTCCCAAAATCATTCCAATATTTTGGTGGCTTCTCAGCGTACCAACGCAAAGGTATCTATAACCTATTAGTGATTGATCGTCCTTAGCAGCCACACTTGCTATTTACTGTTTCTCTGCACCTCTTTGGTATACAACTATTTTTGCTTCATTTCTTGTTAGATTTCCATTATTTCCTGTTATGTGACTTCCTCTTAACCGACATGCATAAAAATCCAGACAATTAAACAATTTTTTAGTCATTTTTTCTTGTCTCCTTACCAAAAGCATATATTTGAATGTGTTCACTCTTTCCCACAATTGCTTCTGGGGCATTGAAGATTGCAAAGCCAAAAAAAGAAGTTAGGTGCCAGGTGCTTGATTAGGATGCTACTTCTGCATTTTAAGCAATGCCCAAGCTCTTTTAGTGCTGTATGGCCGCAGAAGCAATTAGACCACTCTTTCGAACATCTGTTTATTTTCCTGGAAGAGCAGCATTGAAAATTTTGTCTGCCTAGTACAAATGCCTTCTAAATTCTCAAACCAATGTTATTTAGTAATTTAATTTGGGAACAAGTGCCTGGATCTGATAACTGGGATGACCAAAGATCATTTTCTTTATAATTGTGTTGTTGTATTGAAACTAATGCATCGCTATCATCACCTCATCAGTCAACACCTCATCTTATTCTTATACCCCATGGTTTCTATAAGACTGGCACTTTGTATATATCTGGACCCAGAGCATTGTTACCAGGAGTGGAGTTAAGGGCTTCATAAATTTCTGTCTATCAGAAGGAATATGGAGAGGATCTCTTTGCACAACATGTTAAGCCTCGCAATATAGGTTCAAGTTTTGGCTTCCATTAGTAAACTCTCATTTTTTATCCATTGAAGAGAAAGTCCCTCTCATTTCTTCTACATCGGGAACCAAATGCATCCAGTCTATTCTTTTGGAATTGACATGAATTCTATTCCTGATAGAGAATTTACTTTTAGCGCATTAGCATCCTTGTCCTTTGCCAAAATGCTCATGATATTTGCTTGTAGCTGTCCACTTATAGATGATAAGCCTGTTTGCATCCAATCAATCTATTATCAGAGTTTGTAAGTTTTGCTGCTGATAAATGTGTTATATAGCCTTACGCCTGAACTAATACACACTAATTTTGTAACTGTTGAGAAAAACCCCTCTCTTTTCCTCTATGTAGTAATTGATATGATATTCTTTAACTAATGCAGTCATTTTAATCTTCCATGGCATTGGACATCCCATGCATTCTATTCTTTCCAAAGAAAGTTCAGTAATTAGTATTGACTTTTACTATTTTATTTTATATTATTGACTTTCCCATGTTACTCATTTAATTTTATATTTTAAATCAAACTTGTGGCAACTGTATTATTGACTTTTACTTTCTGAATTGCTTGATGCATCTAGATGGTGGCATTGGATGGTCTTACTGATCAAGTTTTATTTGTTTTTGTTTCCAGGAAGCTTGCGTTCATTGCTAACAGGAAGAATCTCTCTCAACACATTGTGATACTTGATTGGTCACAAGATGGCAATAAAAATGAACCTGCAATAGTTGAGCTATTAAATGATGCTTGGCGTGCATACATTGAATCTCAAGGTGCACAAATTTCTCATTTACATTACAATTGTGCCATGATTTTCCGCTTTACTTTTTGCCTGCTTCCTATTTGCATGTATGAATTTGTTTTTTCAGTTTTTCTATGCATGTATCCTGTGCTGATATATGGGTTATGCGTTTCTTATCTTTCTGCAGACGTGTATATGTACAACAAACCCATTTATTTCTGTTTGCCATCTAAGTAGATATTTGAGTTAGCCAGAACTTCATTCTTGGAGACCTAGGGGAGAGTAAGAGTAAATTTTAACATTCATGCTGTGACAATTTGTTGTATTTAGAAGCGCTAAAATTTATAAGGATCTAATAGTTTCAGGCTACAGTGTATATCTCTTTATCTAGGAAATGTGAATGGGCTGGTTTTACCCAGAGTCCTCATATATGTGGGTTTGGCTTCATTGTTGGGGACCCAGACCCTGCTGAGACCAGACCATGCAAGAGCAGTATGGATCTGGTTAAGGCCTGGTCTATATAATCTAGAACACTGCAAAACCAGTTTAGTGTAATTATACTTAATAAGGTTTGCTTGTGTTTAGAAATATTTTTCTTATTTTACTGTATTAACTAATAAATCTGGATCTAAGTAAATTTAATTTTTTTGGGTCTGGGATTAGAGGTTCCATACCTATTGAGTTGCTTACCATTAGCCCTTTGCCTAATTGCTTGGCATAATATAGATGTTACATAGGAGGTTGATATAGAGATACAAATAATTGATTCTGCATCTTCAATTGTATTGTGGAAAGGAAAAATCAATCTTCTGTGTCTTTTTTATTTTGATTCGCTGTTGTTGGTGCTCTAATTTCATTTATAGTACCAACAAAAAGTGAAAGAGTCTTCCGATGCTTTCCTTTTGCATTATATACACTAGTCGGAAGAAAGGGGGTGCAAATTAAGAAAGAATGTTGTTTTAATTAAAATCAATAGAAATTATTATTTTTTTCACAAAAAAAAAAGAAAAGTTATGACTTTTTTTGACAAATAAATAAAAACGAATAGAAGTTATTGGGTGTGGAACTTATTAGAAGTTACTAACTTAAGTAGTTATCCTTAGTAAATTTTTACTTTTTATAGGGGTGAAATTGGAAAATCTAAAAAGTGACACAGAATTTTAACACAAACCCCTCCTCTTGCTTTATATATAGAAAGATATGATGGCATTTTTCAAAAATTCTGATCACTACTGTATGTATGTTTTGATGCATGTACTTACCAACATATCACTATTGTTAGTATTAAATTCTTACTGCTGTTGTTCCATGAGTCTTTGGCTATTATTTCTTTTTTGTTAAATGGTCCTGGCGTTTAGAGTTAAGACAAGGGAATGAGATCACGTTAGTACAGTTTAAGATGGAATTGGTATTTCAGCTGGTGAGGATTATTTGATGGCTGAGGCTGATGGTTCTAAGGCTTGAAAAGCCAGGGTCAAGATTGGTTGTAAGATGGCTTCTCTGTAACAGGGACCTCAACAAGCACATACTGTGATCCTGTGATTGTTTGAGATCATTAAGTGTTTGAATTCCTTCAGTTTCCCATGTGTTGTACTGGTTTTGCTTAGAAGTGGACAAGTGTCAAATCTCATGGACAAAGGTGTAAAACGGTTGTGCGGGAGAGTATAAGTTTTGAAAGGGTTTCATTTTATTTTGAGCAGTATAGCAACCATTGAAGCCCTGTTTCCAAGTGGTAACTAGCTATTCTAGATTTATAGACCAAGCTGTACTAAGAGTAACTATGGGACTGTCTTTCTTGTTCGAAGGCTTATCTTTCTCAACAGAATGAAGAATGAAGTATAAAATGATCCAAAGAAAAATAAAGAGGACCAGCTCCACTTCTCCTTGCAAGTGGAGTTCTAAATGGTTTCCTGTGAATACAAATATACACTTTTGGAGTTTTGTATTAAACTTGTCAGTAACCATTATTGTTAGGGAAGACAGAAAATTTATTTACTTAAATATTTGTGTTTTTGTTTGTAACATCCTGACAGTGGTTCGTCTGACAGCATTGATCATTTTGCTTCAGGGAATGGTGATGATAATTTGATCTTGGCATCGTATGTTGACAAGGTTTCCCAGAATCATGAAATTAGATGCATTGTTGGAGAAGCAGAGACTGAACTCTCTCCTTGTTGCATTCTTCTTTGCCTCACCATTGATGGGAAGCTTTCCCTATTCCACTTTTTCAGGTATCTTGATTTTATATTGTGTGATCTCCCAAGAGGCATCCACTTATTTACTGCTGATACCTACCATATTCCCAAGGGGCATTCAAGAATTTGAACAATTTGTCATGTAGTGCTACAGGTGCTTTGGGTTCTCCTGAGGTTATTGCTGACTCTGATGGAAAAGAGGATGGTTATGCCGTCATGCTTCCAGAACATGGCTTGTCTGAGATTTCTTCGGAAGTCAGGGAGCAAAATGTGCAGCATGTATCTCTTCGCTTGGAACCTGATGATTCTGGGATGGTTGAACCTCATACAGTTGATGATGTTGTTACAGGAAACAGCAAACTATCTGCATCCTGGGAGAGCAAAAAGCCTGATAAACAAAGTAGTTTTGACAACCTGGAGCAGAAACCTCCTATAAGTTTTGAGAAACTAAATGGTGACAATGAGGAGACATTTACTATTCCAATGCCAAACCAAGATGGAGGTAACCAGGAGCTTTTATCAGCAGAAAAGCCAGGTCCTAAATCAGAAGATTTGCCTTCCAAGACTTGCCACCTTGAGGCTCCTGGAATTAGGGATAGAGATTTCTGCAAGACAGAAGCATTTTCTGTAGCCAAACCTCATGTAAATTCCTTTTCGGTTTCAACTGATTTGTCCAGCCAGTCTATTAGCAAAAATCTACAAGCATCTGGCAGTCTGGAATTCCGAGAAAATTATGTACTAACTGATCTAAGGACTGCATCACCTTCCTTCTCAATTGCTAAATCGACTCTGTTGGAAACTTCTGATGAAAAGTCATTATTATCATCTATTGGCATTATCGATAAGAAATCACCCGGAATTCCAGATAGAAACACGTTACATTCTACTGGATGTCTATTTCAATCTCCTCCAAAGTCAAAGGAGACTGCTGCCCCTGCAGTTACAATAGATTCTTCAGGACAGAGACCTATGGCCAAGATGGGAGATATAGGCTCGGTATCTGCCTTTGGCAACTCACAAGTTATTTTGCAGGAAAGCTTTGCTTCAGGATTGTCTTCGGTGCCTCGAATCTATGAAGAACATTTGTCTGCTTCCTCCCAATGGCCCAATAATGAGCAAAAGTTATCAAAACAGATCTGCAATGTAAATCTTTTTATTAAATACTGCATAGTTTTCCTTTTTCCTTTTTGCAAAGGTTCTTGCACACCTTTTCTGTTGTAAGATGATTCATATTTATAGTCACATACTTTTCTTGGAATGGTTTGAAAACTTTCAAAATTATGCTTCACGAAATGCATGAACACCCTAGATAACGGGCAGAGGGATGGCTCGCATAAGTGCTTTTACGCTTGTTTTCTGATGGTTTAAAATTATTCACATTGACCATACGGTTTAGACTCCAAGTGCTGTCAAATTATTCTCATGTATTAGGAAAGTGCTTTAGTCTAATACTAAATCCTAATTGGACATTTTTTTTTGTTCTGTGTCCTTGAAGAAAAAATAGAAAAATTTCTCTTGCAGCTTTGTAGTTATCATGTAAATGGAGATCTAAGTGTATAATGTCCTACAGGTTGAAGTAATGGCCAGAAAAATGGATAGCCTTCTAGAAGCTATTGGAGGAGCAGGCGGTTTCAGAGATGCTTCAACTACTTCACAGGAAGACTCAGTAGTAGCATTGGAGGAAGGCTTATGGACAATTTCAGAAAGATGCAGAATGTGGAGGGTAAGCCTTTGTAATCGGTCACATCTCTCTCTCTCTCTCTCTCTATTTTGTATACCTATGCACTTGTCTGGATCCACACATCTTGTTTGGCGAGCTTATCGTTTTTGCTGTATGAAGCGTCTTTATCTTACAGCTCCTTGGCTGTATTTAGGCCTACCAAAGTCTTGCCTTGATTTAAAAATTTTTTTAATTGAAGTATTGGTGTCAGATGGATGTGGTACATTGACATGTAGATTTAAGGATAGTAGTATACCTTGGAGGTGAACTGGAGGAGGTATGGTTCAATATTGAAAGAAGATGCTATGCTTTCATGTACTTGCCTTATCGAAGCCCTTCATTTGGTTTGTTTCAGTGAGCTGACTTGGCATTTTATGAGAACTTGACATTTTTATATCTTTTCTTTTGAGTTTTTGTGAATTTTTAAGGTCTAGTGGTGTTCTCTGCCCAGGAGAATGCTACGACCAATATTTGGGTCCTAATTTTAAAGATTGTTTTTAATATATGGGCTTCCTAGATCTTATTTATTCCTTTAAAAATGTGCATCTAGGGTGATGTTATTTTGATTCATGAAATAGCATATCATGCAAACACTTCATGTTCTTATCTAAAGGTAATTTTTATTAAATAACTTTTCGAATGAGGGAAAGTGGGGAGAGGGAACTATCTCATTCTTGCTTTGTTATCTTTTAGCAGCAGTGCTTACTCTGGTCTTTAGTGCATTCTTTACATTATTGACCATTAAAACGTTGAAAGCTTTGGTTTGCTGGTTCCTTTTACCACATGTACCCTGGAATAAATCTCCATTTTCATATTCTTTCTAGGGAGTACTGGAAGAGCGATTGAGGGAGATCCAGCTGCTCCTGGATAAAACAGTGCAAGGTATATTTTGATTTTATACTGTTGCTATAATTGAGAACTTGGAAATTGCTGTTAACCCATGAGTCAAACTCTCATCCATCGGTTTATAGTAAGTTTCTGATCAATCTTGGATTATCTGTGTCATTTATATCATGTTACCCGGACATTTTTCTTGTCTTTGTCAAATGAGTTGAAAGACAAAGTACCACCCATGTTGCTTTTGAGTTGATTGTTACCTTCCTTTGGGATGCAAACTCCTCAGCAACCCTATTCCTTTTTGAATATTTTGCATACAACTTGATTGTTTAATGAACCATCCAATTTATTGAAACTAAGATACTCCAGGCACAACTTGCATTGGACAACTACTGTTTCTGATGTATTTTTCAACGGACTAGGAAGGAAATCTCATTCTAACTGATTTGGGTAACTTTCCTATATCAATAGTTATGGTACAAGATCAAAGAGGGTTGCTGTATACACCAATCAATGACCTATAACAGTTTTTTCTAAGACAATGGGTACAAGGTTCCCGACCAGGATGGACATGTAGATTCAGTAATGGATGTTGGAAGTCGGACAATTAAAGAATGATAGGATGGAGATAAAGGGCTTTGAGTTGCAATGTTAGAGATGGGATAGTTTACCTATACTTTCCTCCTCTTGTTCAGATTCATGTGCTCCTTTTTATGTATAACGGTATTTAGGTTCAACATCTTGCAGCTCTGCTTCTAAGGAATGGGCCTTGATTTTGTTTCCTCATTATATACTAGCGGTCTTCACTAGAAACTTCTCTTTCTGATTGCTCCCTCAGAACAGCACTTATACCCCTACAAGAGTGCCAACTCCAGCTTCACATTTGCACTCACAATGTTTTTGTTCTCTCTTTTGACTGAGAAAAGAACATGTTTTATGATTAGTAGAATAAATTACGAAGTCAGGAAACTGCACTGCATTAATTTTTTGCATCTCATCAATTTCCCAGTCCATCAGGTACCTCGTAAACTTGGGTGTTTGATAACCCCATGAAGTACTTGACGAATCAAGTGCTTATACTATTAAGTTTGTTTGGTTACAGAATTCTCCTATCTCTGAGTACATTGAGAGCCACTTAGTTTGTGTACAAAATTTTGAGTGAAAGTTTTATAACTTAATTTGTTGAATTTTTATAAACTTACACTTTCATGTACACACTTTACATACATATACACACACAGTTTCAAACATACACATCTCTCTCTCTCTCTCTCTCTCTCTCTCTCTTTCGCTATTTGTCTCTCTCTCCCTCTCCCTCTCTTGCACAGAAATACATATTTTTCACTAACACACACTTAAAACATAATCTCTCTTGTACAAACACAAGAACTACATCTTTCTTTGCTCAAACATGGAGTATTGCACAAAACGCACTCTCTCACACATACACAAGCACACTTTCCATCTTAGTAGTTTATCAATGTTAAAAGGTGATACTTAAAAAACTAATTTCATAGGAAAATAAAACATAAGTATTGCTATTAAACTATATGATACACATAAAATTAGAATATTTCAGTTCAGTGCTCAAAATCAGCTGATTATCAATCACATGACTTTTATGAGCTCAGCAAATCAAGAGTTCGACACTTAATTTTCAGTTTTCAGTTTTCAGACGTCAGCTTTCAGACCCTAAAATGCAGAAAGAAACATTTTACTATTTTCTTGGTATCTACCAAACCTTAACTACTTTAAGTGCCCTTGAATGTCCATGTTCACAGAGCTAAGCACTCCTGATGTTTGAGCAATATCTGTTATCAGTTCCTCATCATCATTTGATGCAGTCTTATTGAGACAGTTTTTGCGATGATATTTCAGTTTCGGCAAAGAGAATATGTATGCAGGGCATTTTCCAGCAAGCTACTGATAAATGGTATTGGGATCTTTGGAATTGTCAGAAGCTGAGTTCTGAATTGGAGTTGAAGAGAAAGCATATAATAGAAGTTGATCAGGTTAGCACCTATTGGGTTCATGAATTCTCTCTTTTACTCTTGCAAGTTACCTGGATTTTATTTCTATTTTCAGGATTTAACCAGTCAGCTGGTTGAACTGGAAAGACATTTCAATACCATCGAGTTTAATAGGTTTGGTAAAAGTGAAGTAGCTCAAACAAATCCAAGGGCTATTCAAAGGAGTCATGGGAAATCAAGGTATTCTGAATGGCTATAAATTTTTTTTTTAAGCCAGAGTAATTTGTTCCTTTTTGTTTCTGCTTATACTGTTCATGCAAACTCCCAACTGTGCCACATGAAAGTTTGTTATGTGGAAGCCAACCTCTGGTAATTTAACTGTTTAGTTGTAGTAGTGATTACCATGGATTTGTTATTGAAGATAGAGTGATCTATAATGTCAAATTGTTCGGTGCTGCAGGCAACAGTCTTTTTATAGCTTACAGAATACAATGGGTGCACAGTTAGCTGCTGCAGAGAAGCTCTCAGAATGCCTCCGGAAACAGATGGCTGCACTTAATGTGCAGTGCCCAGCTAAAAAACAGAATCTAAGAAGGGAGCTGTTTGAAACACTTGGGCTTACATATGATGGTGCCTCTTACAACTCTCCAAGTAACCAAAAGGCATCAGACACCCTAACAAAGCAACTTCTGAAAACGTCATGTTCTTCTGTCTCTGCTAAGGAACTGTCTTGTAGAAATCAATATACTCCTGTGAAGGCTTCTGAATCAGAAAGTTTGAGGCGGCGTCGAGACTCATTGGACCAGGTAATAACCTTGTGCCTTTGGATGTGTCTGAGCATAATGCTTGCAGGGCCCTGCTGATATGTTTCTTCCACTTTTGTCTTGAGGCTCTCCTTTTCGTTTGCTTTTTTTTTTTTCGATAGAAGGTGGTAGTAAGTGTGGTGACATGGACAGTAAGAACGATGTGCAGTATGAAAGGTAAAATGTGACATGAAGATGTGCATGGTGGAAGAATTGAGTTTCTGTTTCAACATTCTGTATATCATTTAGGGAAGAAAAGGAATTTTTTACAAATTTGTGCTCTCTACCACCTCAATCTCACAAATAATTGTTGTAGTATGGGTAATTTACCTGAGTAGGAGCTCTATCCATATGGCCTGAAGTTAGTTTAACATGCATATGCAATGGTTGAAGGAATAGGAAATTCAGAAGTGTATTTGGAGTTGAAAGCTGGCCTCTAAAAAGCTGAAGTTCACAAACTGGTTTTTAAATGCACAGTATATTGGCTTTTATTATTAGTAGTATTGTGTATTTACTCATGTGCTAAAAATTTATATGGAGTTTTCTGCTGCATCGTTTGCAAAATTTTTAGCTCTCACAGTATTTGTTATATTGCTGCCAACCACTTACTTTGCAATAACATAGTAGTGTTCTTTATCAAATGTCCTTGTGCCAGTGTGCATTTGCATATATTTGTCTGTCTGGCCAGGCAATAGGAGTGTAGTAATTGAGAACATATTTATTTAGGTATATGTAACAATTGTTGTTTACTCACGATCCTTGTAAATAATGCATTTTGGGTATCTGAGGATACCAGCTGATGCTTTATTCTGATGCCTTGGTTATAGATCTGCGAAGAGAGTGCATATCTTTATTGAATTTGACACCTTTTTTTTTTTAATTTTTAGTCAAACTATTTGTACGTCTGAATTTCTTCACTGCTTTTGTTTTCAATCTTACATAGCAGAGTAAAAGGTCCAAAACGCTGTCCTAAATTCAATCATGCATTTACTTTACCCAAATGTCTTGTTGCTGACAATGGGCCATAATCAATCTCCTTCCTCGTGTTCATTGTGAATTTCATTCATGCAAGGTATGTATGCTGTCATGCTTCTTTGAGGAGATGGGCAGCTATTTCATGCATTATATTTTCCCTCTCTATTTTCACTATCCAATAGAGAGAGATTGAGAGCTGGAGGGCGTCAATGCCAGTGGATCATTCTATTTTTGGTTTCTTTCTAGTAGAAATATTGCACTTGAGTATACTACAGCTCCAATTTCTTGTGAACTGTTCTGAATGTGGAGGAATTTTTGAATGTGCTATTGTGCTATGTTCAATATAAACAGCCAGAGAAGCAATACAGTGTAGTTTAAAGGATTGAAGCTACTAAAAAACATGAAAAAGGTAGGTTGATATGATAGCTTAGTAGGCAGCAACAGCCAGTGGGTTGACTGGCATTGCAGAGTCAGAGTTTGCATTCTTCTTCCGGTTTTTTCCCTTTTGCACTGGCAGCAACTAAACTTTCCAATACACTGCTTCCATGTGTATGTAAATTAGATGATAGCCAACATAGGTGGAGGCAGACACATCTATATGAAGTAATCTGGAACATTAAGAGGAGCTAATGCTTTTATCAAATGCTCCTCCGAGACTAGAAAACATATTGTGAAGAAATGTGTATGAAAGGCTCTTTCTGGGTTTATCTGTTTATTCAGTGTGCCTGAGTCCCACCAATTTGCATGGGCTAATGCAGAAATGGTCTAGCTCCGAGGCTCCAAAAACAACTCTGAAAAGGATAATCGTGCAAGGAGAACATGAAAACAGTAGTACAAATAGATTGCCCAGTAAAGCAGAAGAGAAACATCTCAAACTACATCCACCAAAGGGATCCGCAGCTGCTCATTCAATACTTTCTGATAGCTCTGCAACATCCACCTTCCAATCCAAAAGCCCAAGTATGAACCTTAGATGATTGAAAAGAATTTTCTCAGCAGCATTTTTTCAGTTTCAGTTATTCAATTCAATTAGTGATGGCTTTTCTTGGATCAAATTTTTGCAGTTGTTGCTGAAAAACACGTAAAGCAATCTATTGAATATTCCATGGCTCCATCTCAGTCAGCTGATGCTCTTGCAGATCCTGCAATGCAAGTATCAAGAGAAGGTTCTCCTGCAGTGTGGCAACTGTCTGCATCAACAGCTTCTGCAAGTCTAAATGGTACAAGGGAAAATCATACTTCATTGTGGAAATCTAAAAGTGGCTTACCATTGGTTAGAACTTCGGAGTCACTGTCAGGAGGTGATTCTAGATGCATTCAGCAGTCTAAATTACCCTGCTTTGATGCTCCATCCATCCCTGAGAGGCTTCCTGGTGTGTCTATGACATCAAGTAAGAATGATGTTGAGATTCCTAACAATGAAGTTCCAAGAAAAGAAGTGAAAAATACTTTAACCACCACCAAAAGCTCACTGTCTGATTCCAATAGCAGTTATAAAGCTTCAGTATCCCCAGCAGAGCCCATTGCTTTATCCCCCAGTTTCTCTCAAAAGAGTGTAGACACTGAAATTGCAAAAAGCAAAAGTAGTCCTGGTGAAACAACATTGCCTTCTCCTGCAAGTTTGACTCCTCAAGTTAACTTATCATCAACAACCTCATCTTCATTGTCTAAAGCAAGCGCAGCTACCTCATCATCTGCCATGTTATCTGGTAAATTTTCACCATCTGAATTCAGGACCGAAACACATCAAAAGGCATCTAACCTTATAGTTTCTTCCTCTCTAACATCTGCATCTTCCCTGCCTTTTTCAATTCCAAAACTGGACGGATTTTCATCTACTACCCTGCTTTTTAAAAATGGGAATGCTGGTACTCTAGAAACTGGATCTCAGCCTCTTGTTTCTGTATTTGGTTCAAAAAGAGATGGAGATTCAACTAAGGGAACTAGGCTATCCAATTCTAGTTCAGCAATAGGAGAAGCTTTTGAATTACCGGTTTCAGTTTCTCAGCTTGGGCTTGCTAATGACACATCCAATTTTGGTACTGAACGTACCACACAATCAACACAAGTTACTGAATTGCCTCCCAGTTTAAAATCTGAGAATCAGCCCAGTATCAGTAGCATGTCAGATGCTACCACAGAAATGGCACCATATGGTAAACTTCAACAGCCTTGGCCCTCCACAACAAATTCACCAGCTGCCACAGTTTCTGGGATGCCAAATGATGGGAAAAATGGGAGTTCTGCTGTTAGTGATGAGGATGAGATGGAGGAGGAAGCCCCTGAGGGTAGTCTGACAACTGAACTGGCACTGGGAAATCTAGGTGGGTTTGGTATCGGATCAACTCCAAATTCAACTCTCGTGAGACCAAATCTATTTGGTGGGGAAATGCTGCATAAAGCTGCAACTTCGCCAAGTTCACCATTTACATTGCCAACTCCAAGTGCTGAGTTGTTCCGACCTGCATCCTTTAACTTCCAGTCTCCATTATATTCCCAGCCATCTCAGTCAGCAAATATTGGTGCTTTCTCGAGTGCATTTGATACTGGAAACACCAGTCAAGGTGCTACAGCAAGTGGATTTGGCCAGCCAGGACAATTTGGGTCAGGTCAGCAAGCTCTAGGATCGGTGCTTGGTGCCTTTGGACAGTCAAGACAGCTGGGTGCTAGCCCACCTAGAAGTGGTATTCCACCTCCAAGTGGTTTAACTGGCATGTCCACCGGTGGTTTTGGAGGTGGTTTTTCAAGCGTTGCCTCAGCTGGTGGTGGATTTGCTAGTCTGGCCACAGGTGGTGGATTTGCAGCTGCTGCAATGACTGGGGGTGGGGGTGGGTTTGCCGCTGCTGCTACAGCTGGAGGTGGATTTGCTGCGGCTGCCCCAGCTGGTGCTGGTTTTGCAAGTAAGTTACCTAACTACATATAGTTTTCACTGGTTTGCGTGGTTCTCTCAGGACCTTTATGATTTTTTTAAGCAAAATTTTCAGGTGGAGGGTTTGGAGCTTTTAGTACCCAAGGCGGTGGAGGCTTTTCTACATTTGCTACTAGTTCTGGAGCTGGAAGACCTCCGTCTGAACTCTTCACGCAAATGAGAAAATAACTGTTACAAAGGTCGTACTAGGTCCAGTTTCTCTGGCCGGTGTCTGCTTTTTAATTTTAGATACTGTGTCATGGGGATGCGTTGCATATAGTATTATTGGTTAATTTTCTTTTGCTCCTACTTTTCGCAACAGCCTCTAGATCTGCTGATGAATGTGTGTGTGTGTTTTAAGGTGTCAATTATTTATTCAGAGCCAAAGCGAGGCATAGAGATCAATCCAAAGTTTGAGATGTTAAATAATCATGCAGTCGATCAAAATTCAGACGAAGAAATTTCTCGGAATGTGTTTTAAGTGGCATTCCTCTTAACAGGAAAAAGCAAAGCTGTGATAACCATAAGTTCTAAATCAATATCTCGACCTCGCACCGAAACCTGGACAGCTCTAATTATAGATAGGTGGAGATCCTCAAATTTTCTTGGCTGTAGCTTTGGCTGCAGAAAGGTGGAACAAAGTTATGGCTATTAATCTAGCATCAGTGCCTAGGTCCTGTTTGGCAAAAGAATTTTTTGTATATTCATTTAAAATTTTATCGTAGAAGTTGTAGGAAAATTTTTTAAAATGAAAAATTTTGTTTCCTTTCTTTTTCTTTTTCTTTCTTTCTTTTTTCTTTTCTTTCCTATCTTCTTCTTCTCCCTTTTCCCTCCCCTTCTCCCTCCGTTGCCACCTCTCCCTCCCTGTCAGAACCAAGTAGCAATAGAATCATTTTTTTTTTTGCTGTTTTCTCTCTCCCCTTCTTCTCCTCTCTCTCTCCCCCTCTCCCTCCCCTTGGCACTATCTAGTTGCGAGACCAAATCCGGTAGAGAGGGAAGGGGAGGGTGGCAGGAGAGAGGGGAGGGGAGAAGGAGAGAGAGAGGGAGAAGAGAAATGAAGAAAAAGGAAAAAAAAAAATGGTGGTCGGCGGCTATGGTGGAAGAAAAAGGAATAAAGGGAATTTTTTTTTATGTATTTTGGGTATTTTGAAATGTGTAGTTTAAAAATTTTGAATAATTTTTTAAGATTATTGTAATTAAAATTGTAAAAAAATTAGTGGGAGACAAACTAGATCAAAAACTCCTTTGCCAAATAAGACCTTAATGTTGGGGTTTGTCCTCACCAATAATCATTCGGAATCGTCTACTTCAATGGTGGGGAAAGTAAGTAGTGGTTAAGGCCTTGAAGGCATCTTTATGATTTGTTAATAGAAATTAAATTTACTCTTTATTGGTTTGCCAAAGTTATAGTGTAAACCACAAATTATATAGAGCAAAAATTATAGTGTAAACCACCAAATTTACCATTGAACTATTTCTTGACTATCAAACTATTTTTTGTTCTTATTCAGTTATTCAATTAACTAATCAGTAGTCCCCTAGTCATTTGATCAAATTTTGCTCTCAATTTACAAAATAAATCACACACATGCTACTCACTTGTCAAAATTCAAGAATAAACACGTCCGCTAAACTTCTCAACTTGAAAGTAAAAAGTTCCAACAATCATTAAACTATTCTATTCGTATATTTTTAGCCGCTCAATTATTTTTTTGATTCAAAATGGCCACTCAACTTACAAATGTATGCATGAGTGGCAATTCCGTCCAAATTCAATGTTAATTCCAACGGTAATGTTTTGAACCAATTGAAGAAAAAGGAATGTTTTGAACCAATTACATAATCTACCTGCTAAACGTTTGAGGATTAAAATGCGAAAGAATTGCTATAAAATTTCCTCATGGTTCTAATTTTGATGATATAAAAGCTGGGTAAAATACTTTGTTTAGGACAGCATTATATGTCCTTAGCACAATTTCTTTTCTTTTTTTTCGAAAAAACAATCACCCTTGACGTGCTTAGTCAGTCCGACAAGGACAATAGCAATTTTTCGTATCATTGCCATCGAGCTTAGTTAGCCTGAAAGTCTTCCATTTTTTTTTAAAAAAAAAAAAACCCAGCAAGCTGCTGAGGTGACTTAGCTCGACAGCCAATTAAAAAAAAAAAAAAAATTTGCCCAACCTGCCGTGCTTAAACATTCCCCTATCGGCATTTGTGTGAATTTTTTTCACCAATAAACAAATGTATTATCTGGGCAATTAGCTAAACTCTCCTTGTATCCACCAGGATTGCAGCTACATGATTTTTTCTTTTTATAGCAAAATTTGAGATTTTATTAAGAACTGGCACTAAAGCTTTGTACGCAAAGAATAAGTCTCATATCTACACAATAATTATGCACTATCAATTTGCAAGAAACCATACTTTACTAAAGCATCCAAGAGGAAAACTCACACTCCAGCGCCAAGCTCCAATTTTCCTGTATTATGGGAAAAGTACCCCAATCCATAAATCTAGCAGAGGACACAGAAATCTGCTTTAAAATATCAGCATTCCTAGCTAACCATATATGGTATACCAAGACAGCAAAGGCCAAGCGTGATAAATGTCTTATCTAAATTTTCTTAACCGTGATAAATGTGTTATCTAAATTTTCCTTGTCCTTTCTATCTTCTCTAATGCTTTTCTTCCCTTTTTCCTTTTCTTCTTTCTTGAACTTATATTTCCTCCCACATTTTCTTGCCATCAAACTTGGGTATATTTGTTTTACAGGGCTTTTATTCACCCAAGTTACCTGTTTTTTCTCTTGCCTCAAATATATTTTGCACTCTTTCTGATTGGTAAAGATGAACTAGTTTCACAATTACTTTGTGCAATACTTTGTTGAAGGGAATGCTTTACAATACGTGGGTGATGCTTACCAGCTGCAAAAAGGGCAGCCATTCACCCTAAATTTTCCGCAGCATTACAAAGGACATTTCCATGAGAGGAGTTAGTGTAACAGGAGCTAATTGAGGTGCAGAAGTTTTGTGAAACAAATTTTAAAAGGGCAGTAGGCCTCAGAGATCTTGGTGGATAGAAAATCATCAGGTGGGTAGATAAATTACCCATCAAGAGTAGCAAATATCTATTTCTCACATCACAGGCCTTGTCTTTTAATTTCTGAAAATTTGCCAGAATATTCTACTCAGATGCATCATGTCATCTGTTCAATGCTAATATAGAGTGGGGATTAAAAAAAAAAGAAGAGCAGAAGACGATGGTGGTGTATGGTGGTGATTTGGAGGTCAGAAATAGCTGGTTGTTTTTTATCATTCTTACCGAAGGTAATCAATGGGAATCCGTCTGATTTTTTCATCATTCCCACAAATCACTACCATCACCCAACCACGGACTCAAATCTTTGCCGAAGCAACACATGGTTGCAAATCAATTTTAGTAGTAAGAGATAGTTTTGTACGTGTTATTTTTCTAAACTACAGATCAAAAGATACAAAAATTAGTAGATAGAAAAACTTTTTTTCCAAAAAAATTGTATCTACCTTGTCACCAAAAAATCCTAAAAGCATCAGAGGAATGATTTGGAGCTAAAGGTAGACAACACACTTACGTGCGCCAAAAACGTTCAGTTTTGCCCAACGATAGATTCCTCAATTCACTTGAGATACCACAGAGCAGTCGGAGGAACGAGGAATTGCAATATTAGGCAGAGAAGCCATAGGAAGCTCTTTGAATCCCAAAGAACTACTTTCTAGAATTATTAGCAAACATATAAATAGTTTCAAACTTTCAGGCTCAGCATCTGATCTATCATCCAGAAGAGAATAGTCTATCTACAAACAAACAAACAAACTCAGAAAGAAGCAAAGCAGTCAAGACCCGCGGCTCCTCAGTCCCTAACCTCTTCTTTGAGTGTCTGTCGTCTATTATTACTCTTATAAAGGCAGACGCAGCGGCAACCCGTTCCCCAAAACCCTAATTTGCCTAAAGGACGCCTTCTGTGCACCAACCGCTAAATACTCTGTCAACGAATGCTAAATTACATTTAACTCCCTTTATTTGAGGCTTCTTGAACGTAACTCCTCTCTACTTTCCAAAATTCTACCGGTACTTTGGAATTTTCCTTTTCTTCCCCCCCAGGTCCCAACCTTTGGTTTGAGTCCAAAGGACGATTTGGGTACCTATTCCTTATTCTAAATTAAAAAATGTTGTGCTTTTTGAGTTTCATTTGATATTATTGAGTAAACAATTGAATGTCAAATTAAATTTGAAGTGTTCCTTTAATTTCGAAGGCTTATAATGTCACTAAAATTTAAACTAATACACTTGTAATGTCCCCCAACATGCGATACCACATTTTACGCCCTAATACTCTGATTCAAATGAAGTCCTCATTTCTACAAAATAAAATAAAAAATACAATTCTCATGAACCATCTTCTGCGACTCTGTTTAAGGATATATTTTTTGAATAATTTTTTTAATACATTGACAGTGTATGCATAAACGAGTCTAGATGTATGACACATGTAAAATCTGATGTTCAAATTCAAATTCAGATAATGTGACATTTATCTTAACCCCGTTGATGCATATACTAACAATGTAGGACAGATTAACTCTGATGGGCAGCAAGTTTTATGGCTGGACAAGCCACCAATATACGCGCGTGTATATGTATAGTCTTGACTTGACAGCACAAATGCCAACTTACGGCAGTGGTATATTGGTACAACTGCGGAAAACAACATACACATCAATCATCGGTCTGCTCTCCCGTTCAACTACATTGTGTGTCCGTGGAACTCACCACCGGTTGTGATCATTTTGTGTGGCAGTTATACTCTCCATATGGCTTTCCAATGCAGATGGTTTGGAGCACAGAGAAGTTCTCCTCTTCGGGATTCTGCAGTTATCACTGTTCTTACAGCTGGCAGAAGGCGAAAAGATGGTCATTCTAGCTGCAGACCGTCTTTAATGCTAGCAGCAGACCGCCTTTAATGCGTCAACTACTGCGTTTCACTGCACTAGTCCCCTGGAGATCCTTGATGAAAGTCCTGAGGCAACCATTGATGATACGGGGTGCTGCTCCATCACAGAACCGTTTTGCTAGATCGACAGCCTTCAAGAATAGCTACATATTACTGGAGTTCATGCAACTGATGCAGAGAAAAAGATTAAAGGAAGAATGATCCTACAGGAGGAGTGCACACAAGCAATGTGAAAGATCTGTAACCATCAGATACTTTTGGATATTGTTCAGATGTGAGAACCATTTAAATAGCTTTTGCCACCCTTTTTTCTCAGGTGTATCATACAT